CAAAGTCACAGAGAGTGTGAGTCATGTGAAAGAAATTTTATTCTATCCTACCCCACAGAGGACAGCACAGGGAATGGGAATATTTATTGGTTTATTGGCCTCTTCTCAATCTACAAAAAATTAGGATGGCTTACAAGTAGGACACACATATACACTTACACACAATATTTTCAGGAAAGATAACATGATGACATGGAAATAAAGAATCCGGGACAAGGAAACCATTTTTAAGAACACAGAGAAAATGCATATGCACAGATATTGAATGGATAATGAAGCATCGATGGGGATGCCTAAGACTGAAGAACATGGCAGCTAAATATTCATTAAGTTTGATTAAATTGTGAAATAGCAATACACTGTGATGTCATGCAATCATTAAAAATGAGGCAACTCTATGTCGTGCTGCAGAAGCATCCCCAAGACAAGCTGAAACAAATGGAAATTCAGACCAGAGCGCAGAGCCTGCTGCACGTCCAGAAGAGGAGACACCAGAAGCGGGAGCCGCCTCCGAGGGGGGTCCCAGGGTGGCAGGAATAGGAAGGCGCTGACACTGATGCTGGGCATCTTTGTTCCTCTGGAATCTCTTTGCACTGCATGTTTTCCCTTTCCCAAATAAAAAATAGAGTAACACTAGGACTATCATTTAAAATACTTGTGTGTATATATAGCTTTTCCAGTATTAGAAATTCAAAGAGTACGAAAAGAATAAACCCAAGCAACTGAGAAACATAAAGTCCTAAAGGCGATATTTCAAAACTGCCTCCCGACCTGCGTAGACAGGATGGGAAGGGAATGGCTGAGCTCAGGGAAAGCCACCCAGACATTCAGGAATTACTTTTCCAGCCGGGCCAGTCACCAGCCCCTCGGGCAGAATGACACTTTGAAAGATTCTAAACCATAGGATCTCCCGTGGTTTAGAATCATACCACCAATCATTCCACGTAAGCAAACTCCTACGCCTCCCTTTAGGTCAGTTCTGTGTACCCCTTACACGTCAAGGTAATTTGGGGGTATAGATTTCTGTATTTTCTAGGCCGTTTCTCCCTTTTATTCTCCCCACTTACGCTGGTAGACAAGCCCCACGCTTCCTTACACGAGAGGAGGTCTGTGGCCATGGGATAGAAGAATTTGTCTGCAAGACACTTCGGTTTCCTGCTTTTGCTTCTCTGTGGCCTACCCCTGGGGATTGCACCCTGTGCCTGGGAGACAGGCGAGGAGCCGTGGGGACTGTGACCCTGGCTGGCCTGAAGGCAGTGAGAAGTGTGGGCCTCCAGGTGAGAGGCTGGCAATGCTCGGCCACGGGACACCCAGAAATGTGGCAGGACCAGAGGGCAGTGTGAGGAACCCAGGGAGCCAAATGTTGAGTCCCAGGATGACAGAGGTCAGGTGCCCCGCCTGCCCCTGCTGCTCCCACCAGGAGGCGCCCTCTGTGAGGCCCCCAGGGGAGGGACCGCAGTTCTCATGGAGGGTGGGGGTGGGGGTGGGGGTCTGGGTCAGAACGGCAAGGATTTGGAAAAACAGAGATAAACTTATTTCTTGCATACCTGAGTATGTGGGCTGCAAACACTGCCAGCCATGCATAACTTCCCAAGAGCTGTTCCAGGGTAAGCCTGATAACCTCGTGTACCCTTACTCTGACTAATAGAATTAAGGGGGGGAGACTTTGAAAGCGAGCTCTCTTTTGCCTTTTGGCGTGTTTTCACAATGAAAAGGCACGAATGGGGCAAGTCCATGTTCTTTCTGAAACCGCCTCCTTCCTGTTATCAGGAGCTGCCTCTCTGCTGCTGGAGCTTTTTAAAAATTAGTATTTTATAACCTTTGGTTGATGTTGTTGTTGTTTTAAATAAGGAAGGCTCTAAGGCAGGGTGAGGAAAGGCCCCAGGAGAGGGCCTGAAGGACAGGGTCCCGGCCTCGCCTGTCACGTGTCCCATTGTTGGCACGGGCTGGGGGTGGAGCAGGCATGGCAACCGTGGCTGGTTGGGAGAAGGGAGGAGTGTGGGCTTCTGGCTTCCTGCCAGTGCATTTTATCTGCTGAGACAGTGTCAGTCCTCATGGAAGAAACCGTGGGCCTTCCAGAAAAATCCAGCTTCCAAGAAAGCTGAGGACACATCTGGGGGGCTCGGGCAGTACACGTGTAGGAAGCGGAAAGCCCCAGGTTGGCTAGTGATGAACAGCTGTAGATAAACAGATGTGTCTCGCTGCACATGAGGAACGAGCCAGATAAGGTTACAGAGAGTGACACTCAGGGACCAAAGAGGTCCTGCCCACAAGTCCGGACGTGTCAAGAGAGATGAGTCTAGAGATTGGCTAAGCTGCTCCAACATGATAGCTGCAGGTAAGGTGACATCTCGTTGTCATCCATCTTCACAAAAATAACATGACGAAAGCAGACATTAGATATTAACTGCATCCTTCACTAAGAAAATAGACATTTTGCCATAAACTCCACAACCGACTTTCCAGAAGTGAATGCCACGTGCAGGATTCTGGTGGCAGCTGGGCCCGAGGAGGAAGTGGGTTTGGGAAGAAATGACTGTACTTCTGCCTTCCAGGCTAATAAGGTTAAGAGTCACAATTTCTTACTTTCCCTTCAAAGAAGCTGTGGCTGGGGAGCCACTCCCTGGCCCCATAACCCATCCTCTGCAGAACTCACCTGCAGGGCAAGCATGGACAGGCTCCTACTGAGAATGCAGAGCAGGGCTCCTCACCCTCTGGCCTCCCTTGCCCTGGCCACAGCCCCACCCACTCCACCTCTTTCTGCCAAGGCAAGGGATGGACAAATAATCACATTTGGGGGCTGAATACCACCTAAAATATGTTTTATCTAGTCTGAACATAAGGGTTTTTTTGTTTTTTGTTTTTTAAAGTAATTGTCAAATCATTTCTTGTGAAACATGAATTTTGGTAAATTTGGAAAATCTAGCAAACAGGGCCCATGTGGTCACATGCTCACAATCAGATGGGACAAAAGAGCAACTCCCTTTTTGAACAGGTATTAGCTCCCCAGTTGGCTGTGGTCCCCACCACTCCTTAGTGCCCACTAGCTTGGTTCACTTCATTCTCTTGCATTACTTCCTGGCCCCTGTGGCTTTGGGGGCTGTGGCTTCTGGGAGAAGGGATTCAGAAGGCCTTTCAAGACCAGGCTTTGATGTGACCTGGCTGGATGCCTCTTCTAGCACACATTTAACTGTTCTGAACCGTGGGCTCCTTTTCTCTAAAACAAGTCAGGATCTCTTCTACTGGTACCTCATAGGGCAGTGGTGAGACTAACTGGGGTAGTGCTTGAAACTGTTCTGAAGACTACGGGTGGAAAATAGGTCTGACACCTTCTACCGCCTCTAGTAGGTGTTCCTTCGGATGAGCTGTCCCCGGGGTCTTTTCTTTCCATAAATTGCTCTCTATTCTTCATGTATGTACACTGAGTGGCCGGGAGCACACCCAGGTGGGCAAGCCTGCAGTCTTCTGAGTGGTTCGGAGACAGGGGAAAGAACAAGAAAACACTTTGCTTGACGTCCTTAATGCATTTGGAGTCTGCTGAGTGTCAAATCATAACTTCCTCTGCTATTTGGGTTCATAAACTATGACCCTCTTTTGTCAAACTCTTTGAAGGCTGGCCTGGCCCACACCAGGATTCTGAAGAATCTTTCCAAATTCGTTTTCTCAAAGGCAAATACTGCAGCTTCCGTTGGAAGGGAGTGATGCTTCCACAGTGGTTGGGGCTGGAAGGCATCTCCGCCCCACCAGCCATCTGTCTCTCACGTCACATAAACAAAGTCTGATCTAACCTCACCATCTGATCACCGCAAGATAAACTCTTTCAGAAATACGTGTATAACAGCTCCTGCACCAATTTCCACCCCAGTCCAGAGAAAAAGTCAACAGAAGTAGGGAGGAGACAAGAGCTGATTATGTTGGTTTAGCTGAGGCTGTTAGGGGAGGTACTGGGATCCAGTCGTTAGAGGCAGGCGTCCCCTTGGCCCTGTGTGCTTCCTGCTCCCTGGGATGGGGACATGATGGCTTGCCTCTAAACCTGCCCCATGCGCTCTTTCTAGCAAAGCAACCCTATTCAACATGCACTTGTGTGTTGAGTCAGGCATTTGGCTGTATTCCTAGGCCTGACTTGCTGCCCTTTGACACCCAGAAAGAGTTCATTCAATCTTCCCATGACCTGTGGGAAGCCCATGTCCATGAATCCGTGTTCTCCCAATCACTTCGACTCTGGGACAGCTGCTGGGGCTGAAAGAAGCTGTCCCGGACAGAGGAGGAAGAGAAATGCCACCGAGAAAGTATAAAAGCGGTGACCCAATTGAGCGGGGAGAGTAAAAGCAAGTCATAGCTATGCTTAGGGCGAGGAGAATTAAGTACGCTTGACACAGAAGAGCAGAGTTGCAGGTGCCAACACCGTGTGTGCTGCAGGAAAGGTCACGCAGATCACGGAGTGTGTGCTGCCAAGATCGGGGTCCTGACGTTCAGGAATGATTCTTGCCAAGGGGCAACCTTATCCCGAAGGTCCTGTAACGCAGCACTTTCCACAAGACATGGCATCCTCTCCTGCCTTCCGTGGATGGACAGCCCAGGGCTAGCTAGGTGGGCAGGCTCCCCTTCCAAAGCCAGGGTGGGCATCCGTAGGAGACAGAGACCAGCTCCAGCCCCGCCCCAGGGCCTGGAGCATGGCGGCCCCAGATCAGCCTCACCTGAGAAGTCTTTGGTCACCGTCTCAAAGCCTATTGACCTTCAGCTTCTCACATCACTTCTGTTTGCTATAAAAATGACCTCATTTGAATCACAGAGATGAGACTAAAAAAAATAATGTATGACATTAAGAAAATTGAAAATCTATTCCAGATGTTTGCTACAAAATCATTCCTTCCATATTCACAAGTAACCAAAGTGTTTATAAAATATGCAGACCCTGGAGCTCCAGCTCCAGAGATTCTGGCTGTTAAACAAACATCTTAAATTCCACGCTTAAAATCTTCTTAAAAGAAAGGCTTTACTGGGTCATTGCTAGTATGAAAAAGGACCAGGTCCTGGGGGATAGAGTCCAAACCATCAGCAGCAGCAGCAGCAGCAGGTGAAAAAGGCGACATGGCATCCCCCCCGTCCCCTGTCCTGGAGCTGGTGAGCACTTTTATACCTCTGCTCCATGGGAGACAGACATAAGTTTTGAAAGAATTTACATTGGTTACAGATGGGGGGGGGGGG